TATTATTTGTTATTTGTGCTACCCATATATTATATCGTGTTGCTTTTATCGGCCCTTTTCGTGTTATGTGTATGAATTCATGTGTTTTAATCTTAAATCTAGCGCACATTATCTCAGGTCCTGAATAAAAGTATCTACCGTAAATACTGTAATAGTACCCCACCCCCTCGTACAGTCGCGTAGTCGGAAAAGTTTTTCAGTATTTCATTTTTCCAAAGCGCCCGTACTTTCAAAAATGCGTCTTTTAGTATCAAAAAATTGCCCTGAATTTCAGCTATTTTTGATGCCCTAAGCGCCATCGTGTAGCTAAAACCAGTGTCGAAAAATTCGTTCAAAGCTGAGACTACGCTGGCTGCTGCGCACCGTCATTATCGGGGTGGGGATACTAATGCAGTATTTACGGCCTATCTCCTATATATATATATTTATGCTAACTTTACATCATAAGAAATCATTTTTTTTCCTGCGTGCAAAAAAGTAGATCTGAGACCAAAGCTGACAAATAATCAAATTTCAAAAATCTCCTAAAGGGGAAATCCCCACAAGGAAAGCTGCTATCGTTTTTACAAGTAATTTTCTTGGAGTCTCTACAGCCACCGAAGCATGGAAATAATCGAAAGAAAATGTTCTTGAATTATGGTGGATTCGTTTTGAGAAATTCCCGTCAGAGTGCACCGAGAACTTTCCCCCCAACCCGGCTAACCAATTTACTTTGATCTAAAGCTAGAATTTAGCGGACCACTAACAACAGAGATCAGTAAAGAAACAACTCGTGGGTTTGTTTGAATTCAATCCAAGTAATCCTGGCTCTGATTTCAGAAATTTAGTGAAATCGCGGAAAAAGATTTTGGGACGAATTCATATAGGAATAAATAAAACGTTTAAAACTTTAAGGAAATTATCAGTGAGAAAACTTCTCCTAAAAGGCAAGGGGAAATGGTTTTTCCACTTTCTTCTACTTGTATCATACTACAAGTCGGAATCTTTATTTGTGTCGGCTCCAGAACCAAGCCGATCTGTTTTTAGTTACTATTATTATTATTGAATGATTTGTCTATTCTTACGCACGATAAATGTTTTCTCCCTGTGGATATCACAGCACCCCCCATTGCCACGGGGGGGCGATTAGTAGGACTACCTAGGAGGACAAATGAGACTCTCATTTGGAGTCCACGAATTCATCTTACACTTATTTGTAATCTATTCATGCTGACTGTACTACTTTGTAAATCAAGATACATATCTTTTACAGGTCCATACACTTCACAGCATTACAGATTAGTCAGCATTTGGGGAAGACTCCCATCCCATGGGTGGAGGTTGGAGAGTTTGGGTTCCGTAAAGTGTTCGAATTGGTGGGGATATCAGAAAGATCGGCTCTCTTCGCTCCCGACAAATTCTAGTCCACATCCGTTTTATATCTGGGGCAGAATATTTGTAAACAAATCTAGCGCAAAATTTAGTAATATTACGATTTATGAATATTGCCGTAAGTAGCAGTTTTTTGACTCTTCGCAAAAAAAATAGTAAACATCGACAGCGAAGTCTGTTTCTGTAATCGTTTCATTCCTTAACCCTTGTCAAATTACTCGATTGACTTTTGAGAAACTTAAGTTTTGCCAAGCGTTTTAATTTAAAATTATATTTAAATATCAAATTGTTTTAAATAAATACCGCGGCTATAAAACAAAATCGGTGATAATTTGTGCGAGTCGTTGAGTCATCCGCTCATTTCAAGCATTCGATTAGAACTAAAAACATTACAAAAACTAACAACTCTAGTTACGAAAAACAAAAGTTATTGTAAGTATTGGACTCAACAAGTCCGGGTGCCTCAAAGAGAAGGGACAAATCTCTACAGTGTTGGAGAATAAGGGCTCATCAAAGCACCACCTAAAAATCTCCATGAGATCACTTTGCGTTTTGATGCAAGCCAGCGGGTTTAACCAGAGCTACCATTTGGATTTGATCTGAAAATGTCGTTGAAGAAATCAGGGAAGACAGGGAACTCCATTTGCCAGAATCGAGCGGCGCCTCAGTGATGGAGGAAAAATCAGCTAACATTTAATCTGAAATGAAATGCTTTGTTTTGAACCTGTTTGCGTCAGTGATCTTAGTAACAGTAGTCTATTGTTTTTGTGCCCCCTAGGAAAAGACACCGAGTCAGCATGATACAAAGGCAAAGATTTGATTGAACTAGCATCAGTTCTAGCCAGGGAAGGGCGAGGTGAGCTTTTGGTCTAGACACTTTATAGAATTAGCTGTGAGGAGTCAGATCCTGAAACCAAAATCAACCAAATAACTTCCAAAACTTCAATCAAAAGTCCAGCAGGAGGGAGGGATCCGGCAAAAGGTGCATCAAATGGGGTCCAACCCTGATCTAATGAACAGAAGTTCAATGAAGAAACTACTCCACTGAGCCATCGAAATGCATGGAACCCTCTAGCCCGAAGCGCTTTAAAGCATCCGTTGATCTTTTGAAGTCGAATCTCATAATAATTTAAAAAACCTTTACCAATCAATAGTTGACATAGCAAAATGCGGGTTTTCCGTGTTATTGTAGAGACTGGCTGGAGCATATGGAAAAATATTGATAGTTATGTTACGTCTGAGGGGGCGTCCATCTCCGATCCGGACGTCCGAATCTGGATCCGGACGTCCGAGCTCAAAGTCCATCTCTGAGTCAGGACGTCATTTTTCAGAGGAAAATGAATCTCCTCAGGATCAGACGTCAGGATTGGAGATGAGCCAATCTCAGGCTCTGGGATGCTCGCTGAAAAATTACACAGTTTGGGCATAGCTCGGTATCAAAAATCCTTGTAATGTAAACAATTTGCTTCTCATATCAACGCTTTTTTCAACACTCCACCCGAAGCCCGGTCAACTTCTAGAGATCATTTGATCCAATCAAAACATCAGTAATTCGAGAATTCCCCGTTTTAGCTAAAACCTTTTTAGCTATAAATTATCACTTCTTTAACCTATCATATTTGTTGCAAATGATCGATCATGAGCAACATTGCTGATCAAAGCTTTAACTCGAGCATTTTGTCTGAATCTTGGATTTTTTCGCAATTCAATTTCAGATTCCATAAAAAAAGGTCAGGAAATTTCAGAGGCTCACCTCACTAATTCTTCCGGTTTTAGCGGGATGATGGAGTCATTTTTTCGAAAATCATATCAAACAATTGAGGTGTAGTGACAGTAGAAACCGATTTAGAAGGATCATTCTCGTATCTCATCTAAATGAAATGAAAAGTTGAACAATTTTAAGCATTTAGATGTATTAAATATAGGAAAACATCTTAATTTCAAATGATGAGTTAAAAAATTTTACTTTACAAGAGATCGACTTTAAGTATTGGTTTCTTTGTAGCACTTAGTATTTTTGCGTAGATCTGAATGATTTGAGGTACAGCGTTAGATATTGACGGTGTATTCAATCTAGTTGATGCACTAAATCCACTCTATCATTTACTGTACTAGAAATTTTAGGAATAGAAATAGAAAAGAAATACTAGAAAAACAAATGGACTTGTTGTTAAGGCTGAAAAGCTTGAATTGTCCGTTTATAAGTCTGGATCAACTCTGCATCATTTTAAGACCAAAAGAATCGATTTATTTTTTCAATTTTACTTTAAATTAAATTAATTATGTTGTGAAAAACTTGCCCTAGAAAATCCCACATTTCTCACTTGAGCCTGGATTTCGTCAACGCCCTTTTTAAAACACTCTAAGTAGAAATCTAGACTCTTTAAATGAAAAACTACAACAAGTTCAAGGCCGTTTCATGCAATTTTTCATATTTTCCTGTGATCCTCTTGAGCAATTGCAATAGTTGATCACAATCGCTTTGGAATTGCAGTTTCCTAAATTTTCTCGTTGAATGAAGGGAATTGCGTCCAACATAAAATCGGTGCCGAACTGCCCAAGTGGCTTGTGGTGTGCCCCGAAAACATCCAAATCACCGGGGCTGCAAATCTGAATTGTAGAAAAAAAAGTTGATACAGTGATCAAAAATGGAAGAAATGGCGAAAGAAAGATTTCCTAGGGGATCAGACCCTCGGT